TCCCAGTCCCCAACTATTCACAGTTTAGGAACTCCCTGAGATGAACCCCCTGTTTGTGTGTTTAGTAACCTTCACTAATTTTTTTGTGAGTGTCTCTAGTCTCCCTTTGGGCTGATCAAAATACTCAACACCTACCACAGCATCCTGCAGCACTGAGTTCCCCGGTGTAACTGCACAGCAGGTGAAACCTCTTCCTTTTGTTTTCTCTGAACATGCCTCCACAGAGATTCAGCTGATGCCTCCTGCTTGTGGACTACCAGTTGCAGTCCACCCTTTCCATGCCACTCATGATTTCACAGCCATCTATCATACCTCTTTGTATCAGCTTCTTCTCCAGTCTGAAGAGTCCTGAGCTAGTCCTTCCTGAGGTGGAAGTCAGACGCAACTTTGCTCATCCTTGTTGCCCTTCTCTGAGTCTCTTTCAGATCTATCACACGCTCCTTAACACTGGCTAACCAAACTGCACTCAGTACTTGACATGGAGATGCTGCTTAGATGAACATATAATGATCTGCTCTGGTTTGGTCCTATTTTTTTCTTCATGATCCCTACTGTGATTTGCTTTTTTGATCACCAAAGCAAAATAATTTTATTGCTCCAGTATTTACAGTTTGTTTCAGTGCTAATGCTAAGTTATTAGTGGATCGAAAGGTAGACAGATGATAAATACATGTTTCTCAATAGCTCAGAGAATAGGCTATAGCCATTTTCTGTCTGTATTCACTGCAAATTTCATATTTAATTTCAGTTAAAATATGAAACCAGATACTTATTCTTGAAACAATCCAATGCCAATGGGATTATTAAAATGTGTTTGCCCCCTGGGGAACTTGCAGCGACTATATGAGCTACAAGGCTTGAGTACCCAGTGTGCTTTATTTCTGACAACTTCTCATGCTTTCTACTTTTTGATATTGTAATTAGAAGAAGAACAAAGGTGAATTTATGGGGTTGAAGACATATGACACCTTGAAAAAGGAGTTTGCTCTGATTTTAGGTCAAGTGTTTTAATGACAATAGGCAAATCTTCCCATTACTGCAGAGAAATAAATGATGACTTGCTATAAAGAAACTAGCCCTCAAAAACCTTTTGTAAGATCTGTGATGACTCAGGTCAGATGACTGCCAGGTTGATGAGTACAGCACTAGAGAAAGAGGAAAGTTCTAAACCCTGGCTGGTGTCAGTGCTCTCACTCGCTGCGTGCCTGCAGGCAAGATCTGCACCGGGGCAGGCAGAGGGCCTGGGCGCTTGGGAATAAGCAATTCGTTCAGGTATCACCCAGAGACATAACGCACTGTCCTCTTGGATTTGAATGCAAGATGAGTTTCAGATTTTTCCTGAGTTACTAGAAGAGCAAAGACAGAGGACTTAGACAATTAGCTAATAAAAGGCTTTTGTACCCCAAAGTAAGATCTACTCTGGCTGTTTCACCCATGTGGTACCCACATATCTAAAATACAGCCCAGCTCATGCCCTCCAATTCTTCCTCGTGAATTTTACAAGCATTATTTTAAGAAGATTATGATTTTCAGAAATATGATGGCTACTTGGGGAATGGAATTTGTTTGATCAAACAATAGTTTTGCTAATGAGGATGACGCTTTTTCACCTGTGCATATGTCTGCATAGATCACGTAGCATTAATGAGCAAGGACCCTGTGCATCACGTAAATCAAGCATGGGAGTTTTTTAAAGCTCTCTTCCTTTTAATCTGAATGCTGTGAAGGAGCAATGGCTCTCCCAGAGCCCTGTGACCTCCTATCTGCCTGCAGCTCATTGTTCAGTCCTAATGTTTTTCTATTTCCATGGCTCAGTCTGGCTCAGATATGCTTATTTGAAGGTCAAGGTGCTCAGGTATGTCATTCAGACAATATTGGCTGGGCTGAATCTGTGTGATCAACCAGGCAGGGTATCCACATCTCCCAGTGAAACAAAACACTTGGAGCATTTACTGTTGTGTTTTATAAAGCAGCAAACCCAGTCCCTTCTCATGTGATGTCTCCTAAGGCAATACTTCCCCTCTCAGGTGAACAAAACCCTCTTGCTCTTAGATTTTCCCACTTTCTCATTTACTCTCTCCAAAATACATTTCTTATTCCACACCGCAGCCCTGTAGGACATCCCATTCAGAGCCATTTTGTGAAATTCAACCCTGTGTTTGGGTCCCTTTCCATCTGATCAGCTCCTTCTGCAGTTTGTGCCACTCCTGCCATGCTCGTCTCCACCAGAACAAGAGTCAAATTCTCCCTTTCTCCCAAGATTTTATTCCAGCTACCCTCACTTCTGAGCAGGTTTGCTAGCTGTTAATGAATATATGAAAATTGGGTATCACTTCCACCGTTTTAAAGGAGAGATGGAAACTTTGTTGATCAATACTGATCCAAATTAAAGCTTACATTTACTATTTAGTACTGTAAAATAATTTCCACTTTGTTCACACTGAAACACAGACAAATGTAAATGCTGAAATGGGTGAGGTCCCCAGCTCTAAGCATTGAGGGATAAAGATTCCTGAAGTGACTGACTTTTTTGGCATGTGGGATCTCTGCAGCAGAAATCAATAAGCTTTCCTCTCTCTAGTTTAATTCAAAAATTAGCTTTTTCAAAGCTGAAAAAAATTACTTAGGAAACCAGGAAGACTTCCCTTTTCTGCTCATATATGAACAAAAAGTATGTGCATGTTTTTGGAGCCTTTTGGTCCTAAAAGAATATGGGAATTTTATAATTTTATATAATATATAAAAATCCTACTCAAATCCTTAACTCTAGCTCAAACTTTATTCATTTAGTAAATTACTTTCTATAGATTTCAGTGTTGATATAGATTTTCTTTGGGAGCCAGCATATTTAGCTCCATTTTATTTACAACACTTTTTTAATTAGTCATAGAGCTGATTTTATGTGTGCTAATTTGCTCAAGTCATCTTCAGGACACAGCACGAAAAAAACTCAAAAAAAAATTAATTTCATAAATAACATCCTTTTGCTGTTTCCTCACAAAATACAAGATGAAATAACAATCTACATGAATGTAAGTTAAAACAGATACTTGTTTACCCATGTGTATAGCTCACCCTCCTGTTTAGCAAAGACATACCAAGTCTAATCTGCTATACCACTTAGTCACTAAATCAGGTTTTAAGGGCTATTTGTAAGTATTAACCTGTCTTTAGACAATAAAAAAACATGATGAAAAAAGGGAAAGTAAGACTAAAATTCATTCTATCTAAATCACTGTTTTGTACTTGAAGATTTAAACCTGATATGCAAGTTACTTTGATTTCAATCAATAAATTTACAATGTAATTTTTCCTCAGAAATTTCAAAGTTGCTGGGAGAAAAAACAAAAGTAAATGAATAATGCCAGAAATTGCAGTTAGGGCACTAAGGAACAAGAAACTGGGCCAAAAATGTGGAGGTCTTCTTTTAGCACTTACACTGTGTCTATGCCCATGAACTGCTTGTTTCCATAAAATCTATTTAAATTGATCTTCTGAGAAAACAGTTGCATTTTAATTGAACTGTAATCAAATTAAAACCATGTAAGAGTAAAACTTTATTTTTTTTTTTTTCCTCAAATCCAGTGATTTAATTCACAATTACTTTCTGGAATCAGAATAACTTACTAAATACCAGTCTCACCTAGTGTTACACATGCTTTCTTAAAGGCATCAGCAACTCAGCTGGCTGTGTTCTCACATATCATCAGATCACTCTATTAACAGTTAGGACAGAGGTAACACATATCTGGAATAAAGTAGCTATTGAAACAGCAGGATAAAGTTGGCCTGCTGATTCTATTACTGGAGTAGTTTAGGAAAAAAAGAGAAGAGAATCACTTTTGCAATGAGGAAAATTCATTCTGTGTACTGAGAAACCTATATGCTCCTGTTGGTAAGACAGTACCTGTGGGATAAGAGGAGGAGGAGAGGCATGTTAAGCAGCAGGCAAATTTAATTCATGGATTTCTGCAGGGAGGCACTAACAGAGAGTCCTCCTTGGCATTGCTCATCTTTCATGGCATCTTCTTCTGCAACCTTGGCAGCTGGGACCTGGCTCCTTGGCTTCAAACTGGGCCAAGGGAGAGGGCATGAAGAGTGTGGGAGCAGAGCACTTGGGCTGGGTTTGCCTGTGACTCAGTAGGAGAGGTGAGCAAAAGCGATCTGTCCTGGAAAACAACACTTCTGGCCTCTCTAGGAAGGAAAAGTAATACAAACCTTAAACTCCAAGATGTTGCCATGAAGAAAAGCTCTATGTTCTAACATGCCACACTTCACCTCTGCAGGACACTGCCAAGCCCAGTCTTGCTGGCTGTGCTCCTGAGTGCAGAGAGGTCTTGGTGCAGGGCTTACCTTTGTCTCACTCTGAGGAACAGGTCCCCAAGCCCCACAGGAGGCACCAGGGAGATGATGGGGGGAACTCGCCTGCTGTCTGGCACATCCTGGAGCCAGGCTGGAGGCAGTGGCTGGTCTGCTCCACCAGCACCTGCAGGCAAGCTGGGTTTGCATCCGTGGGCGCTCCTCACCATGCCTATGTGAGCTGCAGGCAGCAATGCTGAGGGCCAAGGGGAGCAATGGAACAGACTAACGTTTCAGAGGTCTAGTTCCCGCTTTTCATCTCCCTCCCTCTTACAAGATGCCACCTATAGCAAGAGTAGCAGCATGGGCTCATGCAGGCTACAGAGCTGGGCCATACGCTTTGGTGCTTGAGGCAAACTGGGGCTGGAAAGCCCTGTGAGGGAAAGAGGTAGCTGAGAGTCTGCTGTGTCCCTGGCTGCACAAACACATTGCAGCGCCCTGTGCTGCTCAAGGGTCCCACAGCAACCATGTGGAAACGGTACTCCCACTGCAATGCCCTCATGGGGCAGACCACGTACGCCCCTATCATAATAGCACAGCCTGGGTCTAACATCCAACTCCACCCCATAATGCAAAACTGTGTTTAAGAAGCCTCCTACATGTAAAGTCTTGAATGCAGCAATGAAGCCATAAACAAAGAATACAGGTAACAGAGCTTTATTAGATGTTTCACCAGATACAAAGAAACTGGATTTTATATTACTCTTTTTTTACATTAAATACACGTTCTTGTCATAAAAATTCACATTTGCTATACAGAACTGTAGGCATTTTTTACACAACATTTATTAAAGTACCATTGATTAGATCCTAAAAAGAGAAGGTGCAGCTCTGTGAACCTTTGTGGGCACAACACACAGGGAGCTCCATGTCCTCAGTGTTACACAATCATCCTTCCCTCCAAAACGGAGAAGTCATTCAAATGCATTAATGCTCATTGGGAATAATAAGGCTTCTGTACAGAGATCCTGAACAGTGTCAGGAGGCAGTGTGGCAGTAACATCCCAATCATCACCTACATGATCCTAAAGCTACTGATGACTGAGGCAGACAAAAACTTAACAGCTGTCCTGGCAGGCCCAGATATTTCTTATTTTCCTTTTAAAATTGTATTTTTAACCACATATTGTTATTTTCAATAATAATAATTACACATAAACCAGGATTCTGCTTTAAGGATCCAAGCTTCACCGCAAAACTGATTTCAGATACTCGAGGAATCTCTCCCAATCAAATTGACTTTTGTAGTACCCAGATCTGAGGGAAGAGACTAGTAGGTGTCATCTCACTGCAGAAAAAAAGCCCAAGTGTACCTCCATCTTAGGAAATACTCACTGGCATATCATCTAATTGTTTATAATTTGGAATGAGAGATTTTATAACTGAATTCTCATCAGCCAAGGTGAGGCCCATCTAAGAGGACATGTGTAGGCAACTTGGAGTGTGGAGATAAACCATTCTGGGAGATCAGATGTGGGACACTGCCACCTTTTAACCCTGTACTTAACCTCTTATGAGAACCTGTGGATTGTTATGATCTACTGAGGATGACAAACCTCTAATGCTCACTTTGAACAGCATTGCTCACAGCTGACAGTTAAAGGGATGTGTATGCAGAAGTTGAGATAAGGAGCACTGAGCAGAGGCAAAGGAGAGGAGTGGGAAGATGCTGCATTTTGACTAGACAAAGATAGCAGAGGGTTTGATATCAGACTTCTGCCTTCCCTCAATCACTGTTCAGGTGGGTCTCACTGAAGCTGACCTCACACCAAACGTACTGTAGGGTAGGCACACTGCCTACTCCTGTCCAACTGGCCAGGCATGTGGTAGACCCTCTCTGTGATCAGTACATCTTTCAGAATTACTCTTGGCATCAGGCAGAGGCATCCGAGACAGAAACCGTGAAGGGAGAGCTAGACTTGGCTGTGGGAATGGTAGGGGGTTTATACCCGTGGGCAATGTAGAGATTTCTAAGTAGAGCACTAGGTCCTGTGAGGCACTGGGAAATTATTATAGCTTTTTTAATTAAAGCTGTCATGGCTCCTGAAAGCAGAATGCTGTATGTGGCGGGCCAGGCCAGGCAGCTCAGTCTCTGACATTTATCATTTTTACATACAGATTTTTACAGTCCAACCTAGATTGGAGCTGAGTTCAAAGCTCTTCCTGCGAATTTACAGCTATGTTCCAGTATGGGACATGAGCAGTATTGCATAGCATCCAGGCACTTTCTCAAAGCCAGGTTATCACCACCTTCCTATCATGATTGTATCCTAGAAGATGAATTTTAGGCCATTCAGTTACATGATCACAACTGCTGCTGGCATCAGCAGGAGTTGTGTGTGCACAGAAGTGATTTGGTCTGTATCACATTGGAAAGCATGTCTTTGTCACCTTGTACCAATCAAGGTAGTCAATCAGACAAACATCCTACTCTTTATTTACCAATATGTAAGTGAGCTCCACATAACTTCAAGTTTAACTCCTTAGTGCCGAAAAATGAGAGAGTCAGCCCTATGGACAATCCTCAATAATGTCTGAAATCAGAACTGATAATTATGGGATTTAAACAATATCATGCGAATGCATTAAGGCAGGTTACATAACTGCCCTTTTCCTTTAGGATTAATTATTATTTCCCCATACACTGTAGACAATCCATACTCCCATACACACACATACCTACAAAACAGCAGCACAGTAAAAACTAAATAGATCACTGAACTCCAACATACTTATAATCAACACATTGCACATACTATACAGCATATTTTAACCTCATAATTGGGTAAACATACACAATTCGGAACAATGTTGACTGTATGTAACACAGAAGCTACCACTGAGATATGGCAAATACATCATATACACTATTAGCTTTTACTTCACTGAAAAGGAGTTTAGAAGATTAAAACAATGTTAACTGAACTCTTGAAATCACCAAGTAGCATACTCAGTTGCTAATAGCTAGTGCTCCATATATTATATTCAGGATAAACAGCACTGGACCTGTGTTTTCAGGGTACTCCACTTTTTTGATGTTGTGGAGTTAAGCTCCACAATTTTAAATTTCCTCTGCAGCACAGTATATACTCACTTCACATTGACTATCTGCTCCTTCTCGTCCCAGAGTAAAAGTTTGGTAACTACTCTGAAGTTAGTAGAAATGGTCTGGATTTGTATTAGTATGACAGAAAGCCCAGCATACAGGATCATACATTCCCTCTCATGCACGTATGCATATAGATACACACACATGTGTATGCTTAAAAGAATGATTTGAAATGTCAGGACATACAAAACCAGTAACATAACCAACAGCAAAGGAATGCAAATAACCCACTCATTTTAGAACTAGGCTCCTGTGGTCCAATTCTGATCTTACCCCTCTCCACACAAGGCAGGTATCAGACTCCAGGACCAGCTGCTTATTTGGTCCAAATTGCTGTGGGTCGGATTAGTACCGAACAAAGACATCTCAACTTGTGTAAACTGAAAAACGGAGCCAGGTGGGTTTACACCAGCTGAGACACTGCATGTGTTGTGCAGCGCAGTTGCATTTTTTTCAAGTACAACTGAAAAAAAAGGATCAAGTAACCACGTGAAAACATCAGAAAACACTATTACTTGATGTGTATGCAATGAACATAGCAAGAGGGAAACTGAGCACAGGAAGGAAAAAAAAATGTTTTGCTGGAGAATGACATGACAGTTTCTGTAAACAGATGCTTATGAAGATTAGTAGTGTAGACAGGTATTTTTCCTCTGATGTCATCTTATTTCCCATGCAAGATTCCTCATAACATGTGGAGAAACCTCCCAAATGAATCAGGTCAGAACAACTCATCTGACCCAACTCCACAAGCACATTTCTGGTTGAAATCAAAGAGTTTTAGCTGCATATGAGTGGCAAAGCTGGGCTCCTGAATGGTCCAATTGTGCTGCATAGTCCCTCTGGCTTTTTCTTTTCTGGCAAGATCTGCCAAACAGTATCAACAGGGAATGCATCCCTATCAGGACTTGAGAGTTTTGAGGCCTTGCAGATGAAATCCCCAGAAAAGCATGAGGGAGAAGTATGTCCCCCTCAACTTTTTTTGTTTTAGTAATTAAGGCAAGTTTGTTTACCTGTCCCTAACATAAAGTGCTGTGCTTCTCCAACAGAAAGGAGTTTGACAGCTAAATGAAAACATAATTCTTCTGATCAAAATTTAACATTCTGATAAGACTATTTTTTTTTCCCTGTTAATGGAGAAACTATATGATTTGTCTATCATCCTCTTTGTCAGAGGTGGTTTGGTTTCCATCTTTTTTTTTTTTTTGCTTTGCTTTTATTTTCCAGCACCCAAATGACAATTAGAATAAAACTGGTGCTAAGCAAACATTTCATAACAATGCTAACAAGCTCAAGATAGCTCTATATATACTCCTAAATACAGGCACACGCACACTTTTCTTAAATACAGCAGAACAGTTGCTTTGAGTACACCTCTGTGTAAGCAAAAAGCTTGGTGTGTTTGGTGTGTGTATGAGCAGGGGGTCCCAAGAGGAACTCAGTGGTGTTGATGCTCTTGAATTCAACAGAATTTCAATCAGAATCCAACAAAAGAAACCCAGTTGTTTCTCCATCCAAGGACTCAGATTACTTTGCTATATTAAAAGGATAGGTTAACTCTTTTAACTATACTTAAGCAGCTGAAGGCTGACAGGACGAGTTTGAAAGAAAAAAAATCTAGCTAAAGAGAAAAATGAAAAGAGCATTTCATACCACATCAGCAATAAATAAGAAAACATTTTCATGTTTCTATGTGGGACACCCACATAGGGTGGGTTCAAAAAAAACATATGCTCATGTTTCATTTTTTGTGTCTGTTACATGAATTTTGCTTGGAGAGCCTGTGTAAACTGGAGTGCATCAACCCACCCCATATCTTGATTAGTTGTGGGTGAAAGCACTAGGGTCCTACCTGTTGCTCAATGCAAAGATGTCCCGTGACTCTTGGTAAATTTTTGAGGCTGTTTGTGTAAAGTTTTAATGTTATAAAAAACCTAACTGTCTTATATCACAGATTTCACTGCAGATGAATCTTACAGTCCTAACTTACACATAAAAAACTGCTACTGAAGGAGGCATCATAGATTTTTTTCAACCAAATTTATAATACACCTGTCCAGAAACCCAAATATCGATACACAAGTGTGCATGGATATCTTTGTGTCATATACATACACTTAAATATGTCAGTATACTACACATACACTTAAATGTTCCTTTACAGTACACACACACTTTTTCCAAGGCACCCTCTCAGTACAAAATAGCAGCAAGTGTTCATTTTAGTCTCTTTCTTCCAAAGCTAAAAAAAAAAAAAAAAAAAAATCACAAAAACCCTGTACCCCACCTGCCTTAACCCACCTGTTCAATATGAACATTTTTGCTTTTTTTAAACTCTGATGGGAGATGGTATTCCTTATCATCTGACAGAAAATAGCAAAGGATTGTATGATGCCATTCTCTTTTCTTACTCAATCAAAAGTTCTAGCAGTATCAATGGAAACTTGACCCTAGTCCTATCCCATAAAGCCCTGCAATATTTCAAAGAGCATTTTCCTTATAAGACATTGTAGCATCTATTGTTTTACACAAATGAAATGTTTTGCTTTCCAAAGTTGTGTGCCTGTGCGTTGATGTGTCCAGGAGATATGATTGCATTGTATCCAGTTAGGTGCCATACAGTGGCAATGTTCTCATTTTAGAAATCACTACGTTGTCCATACATCGGAATTTATATATGTTCCATTAAAAGTAGGACTATTAGAGATTCTGCTGCTAGAACAGTGCCATTCAGTAGACTTTCAACCTTGTGTTATGCAGTATAATATCCCACAAACAATTTAAGGTCTATAGAGTATTGTTATTAGCTAAACATTGAACTACTACACACATTAGTACAGGAATTTTTCATTGATGAAACTGGCATTGATTTTTTTTGGAATCAGCAGAGAAGCGTTGTGTTCGTAGCTGCCTTAAAGAGAAGCTTAGACTGCACCTATTTTTTTTAAGTGCAGTTTTAGTCCTGCAGAAAGCACATTTCCACTATGGGACAAAATCCTGCCCACCTTGCAGTACACACAATTTACTGATCTTATGTCCAATCCATGCTAAACACAGGAAATGTTCCTATTAAATTCAGTGGATGTTGGATTAGAGTCTCACATAAAATTGTTCCTGGGAGGAACTGGTGCTTCAAGCTGGCCTAACTTTGTTCCTGCTAGAACCAGGTGAAATACGTACTGGCAGCTCCTGGTACAGAGTTAGGCCAGCATCACATATTTGCTGACTTGACCTGAGGCAGAGACTTTGGAAAACCCCATTTTGACAACGAAAAGCAAGCAGGATTTAATCTGTGCACTGTGCACGCTACGTAATACATCATGTTTACTGTCCACTGATTATGCGTATGTTAGAGGCATGACTTTGGATTTACTTTACAAAGGCATTTAAACTTGTAGTTCACTGATAAATACAATCAGTTAAACCACCTAATAGATGAAGTGTAGCGGCTTAAAATTTTTGGGCCAGATATACTGTCCTCTCCCAGCATAATGCTCATGCTGTCAGGGAATCCTGCTGTGGGCAGGCAGAGGGCAATATACATCCCATTGCTCTGAAAACAGCAGATTTCTTGGCACTGTTCATAACCATAGAAGACATATGAATCACATTTGGTACTTCATGGAAAACATGTAAATGGCCTTCTTTTATCAAACACTGTAAACATGTTTAGTTTTGCTCTTCACATGAAACACAAATGTAAAAAATGATTGTAAATGACTAAAACATTTCCCCTACGCCCACCCACTAAAGCCCTAAACACCTCAGCGTGTTATAGGAAGATTACTGTTTTACAATATAATTCTTTTAAAATGCAATCTTTCTTTTTAATTCTAAATAATACGACAACACACATACTATAGTACTATCAAGTAGTGTCATCTTCACCTTCATCCAGGGCATAGTTGAGCTTTATGACTGTGCTGATGAAGTCACCAAGTTCTACAAAATCTGCAGTGATAATATTCACACCACTTTCTCCTGGTTTCTGAGTTCGGACCCACTGCATCATCGCCGGAAGAGCCCTAAGGAGAAAACAGGAACAATAATTACTCATAAAGCAGTGAGACAAATGCACTGAGGCATGATTTACCAACAGTGACTCCCATTTATTGTTCTAAGAGAACAATGTAAGAAAGGACACAGGTTACTTCTCAGGCTTTTTGAAAACCCTTCTTTTTATAATCTTAATTCTCCGTGGAAATAACATGATGATTGCTTTACAACTTCTCAGTAGAGAACAATGGAAGGAAGATCATACAGGCTTATGGTAACTATTGATCTTGCCTAGGGGCAAGGGCATGGACCAGATAACTTTTCAATATCATCCGGCCACATGACTACATAGGAATTGGTTTTGGTAAAAGAAGAAACAGAGAACTCAAGTCATTTGCAAAGCATGTCTGACACATTCAAGGAAATACTAAAAATAGTATTTTGGAGGACATGTTTACTACAATATAAGTAAAGTATATACTGAATACTCTTTCTTTCCCAGTATTAATATCCTAGCCACGAATTATATTTAATCATAAACTAGTGGTTAGTAACTGAAATAAAAAGCACCACAGTCATATTGACTATTTTCTAAGATGGCATTTTTTTTTTTTTTTGTATCAGATCCTTAGCACAGGAATACTGGGGTGTAAAAGATGTCCGCCTAACTGGCTTTGTAAGCATAAATAAATTTTTCTGACACCATGAAAATATAAGCTAATGATATCTATGGGAAAGTAAAGGGCTCCCCAGTCCTGCTGAGAAAGTCAAGCAGCAAGATCTAGTTTTCAGAAGGCAGAAGTTAACAGACTTCCAAAAAAATATGGTACATATTTTTCAGAGAAAGGGTAATTGACCATTGGAACAAATTCTTGATGACTGTGACAAACTGCAGCACTTGGAGTCTTTAAATCAAGGCTGGATGTCATGCCAAAAATACACTCTCAGTCAACCTCAAGCTGCTGTGTTAAATAAAAAAGAACCCCAAGACTGGGTAGAGCCGCAGCCAGTTTAGGTGAACATTGTGAACATTGCTATTGCTCTAAAATCTATAAATCTGTGATTGCCCCTCAGCCAGCAGGTTGTACAGCCTTTTTCACAGAGGCAAGGTACATGTAAAATGTTGGTCTGGCAGTAATTTAAATCAAGCTGAACATGCTGAATCTAAATCTGCTCCCAAAAGCTTTAGGAAAACAGATCTAAAGTAAACAGAACTATTAGCAGACACATATTGTACTTGTCAGTGGCCACCAGAATCAGTCATTTTAAAAAACAATTTAGTACAGAAAACAAATCAGCAGAAAATAAATTAACCCCCTCTATGATTTTACAGGGGAGTGCACAACACTAAGGTTTTGCTTCAGGAAAATGTGCTTAAATGCACTGTAAGATCCACGTTTAAGCCCAGCATCACATTTTATTTCACTCATTGATCCAGTATGACTGAAGCACATGCACATATGAACATCAGCTCATAAAACTGAGCTTAAGCACTTTGCTATATAAGAACCCAGAAAGCATCTTTAGATTTAAGTTTATGTAATCCTGAAAACTGGCACTCCATGGAACTGTAACAGGCACAGGTCAGGTGTTAAATATCCAGCAATGCCTGGAATGTTTGAAAAGATCTGTGAGTAAACAGAACCAGGACAGATCTCAGCAGAACAGCATGAACCACCAAGGTGATAAAAGGCAGCTCAGAGCAGTTGAAAACTCCACTGCATCTTCACATGCAAGCGATACTACTGACCACTGGACACAGACACAAGGCTGAACTTCTAAGATAGCAGTATGCTGCCTTTGTCTTTAATATTATCCTATTTAAGTTCAAAGAGTTTTAGGTTTGAAGGTGAACTGATTGATTGTAGGCAGGCAGATTTTTTCTTCCCTCCTTCCGCATAAATTAGTACCCTTGATATTTTACTCCCCCTTGAGGCATAATTAACTCCTTTTGGTGTCCTTTATTTGTTCTGAAGCTGGTTCTGATGTAATTCTGTCTTCAGACCATAAAGCTAGCTGTCTATACACTTAGCCACATAGACTGAAATATTGTTTTCTTTTTCCTACCGTGTTCTTATTAAGTCAGCCTTTAACAGACAGTCATGCCTCCTATTGATTAGTGCAATATCTTAAACTCAGTTTGCCCTGCCATTTTATCTCCACTTAGGCTTAGTAGTTAAATGGTTACATTTTACTGTTATTTCACACAAGACACAGTTACCTGACCTTCTGTTCATATGCAAATTGTTAACATCACAGAAATCTTTTGTTCATCTGACTAGAGAGATTTAAAGATAAATCAAAAAGTGACTCAGATTATCCAACAAAAAGCTTATTTGCATAGCAAAGACAGAGAACACAATCCTGTAAAAAAACCCCAAAACCTGAACAAAAGATTCCACTGACCTTAAAGATTTGATTTAGTCTATGCAACTCTGCTTATGATAGACATTAATAGAAAAAACCCATACAGGTCATCTTCCTCTGACAGTGCCATCTTGAAAGTGGATTACATCAATGACTGTAAGAAACCACGTTGCTCCGTTTCAGTACAAATCTCTCACAAGCTTGCAAAAATTAACAGAATAAGCCTGCTTTAACATTCCTCAGGGTGCTTTTGTGATAGCAGTACAAACCTTGTTCACCCTTCCTTGTAATTTCCAGTCTCTGCATGCTTCAAACTAGTAATTGTTCTCATTAAGCGTTTTAGTCAGAGGAACAAACCATGCTGTGTGGCAGCCACCCACATCACTGTGCTCACAGAAACCCAGTACTTACCATGGTCTTCACAGATATTCTTGCAATGTTGATAAGAAACTATTTTGTGCATAAGCATATGCAAATGTCTTAGGCTGCAAACCCCGATAACACCACTTGCCTCTGTGTTAGGCAGGTCCTGGCTCTCCTATGGAGGATGTTGATGCCCGTGTTTAAGGGTCTCACTGGAGCTCTGGCACCAACGGTTCAGATCCCAACCCTGCAAGTGTAGTAATCTCTGCTGTTACCCCACTAACTAGAGGCGTAGTCATACTGTAACTACATCCACAGCTCCATTGTGCTAGTGTAACGATTTTTCTTAATGAAACACTGTCATGCTGATAATAATGACAGCAATGCCACTATTGAAACTGCATGCAGAACAGGCTCTAGCTCTCCGGAGGGCAACCTCACATCCTCCAGCCCTCCCGTGCCTCAGCTGCCTCTGCTGTAAATGATGCAGTGAAAATTGGATGAGTTGATCAGGAGTCCCACAGTCCTCAGGGATGTGTTGTGAGGTTTCAGCACTGTGAGTAAATGTTCTGAAGGGCATACAAGATGAAAAATCTTATATTAACATGCTACAAACTAAGAGCCAGGCAGCTGAAAAAGCTGACAGATGCACAATACCTGTGGCCCTTAAACTTACTGAGTTGGCTGCATCCCGCAGCTCTGCAGTCCAGCCCATGAGGCCACAGTCACAGTTCTTAGAAGCAATCACTTCTAACCACTAAGGATTGCAAAAGCCACTGTGTATCGCTGAGCCACATACACAGAAGGGTGCTGCTTGCCTTATCCTAGAGCCAAGGAGGAGAGAAGGTGTGCTCGTCAGCAAAACCTGTGCAGGGAGATAGGAATCTCCTCCCCTCACCCCACTACCTGGGTTACTGTTTTCATCCTGCTGCGGCTCCACTGACCTGGGACAGGGCCATCCAGATCTGACACTGACGGGCCAGTGCAGCACTGCCCCACAAACCAGCACCTGAAGTTGACTCCTTTTTCCACATCCCTGGCAGCAGGGCTGGGCCAGCAGCATCAACAGGACAGGGAAGGGAAAGCCACAGGACTGTGGGGCTTGAGCAGTGACGGGAAAGGAGAGGAACAGCACACTAGCTGGGTTTGAATATGGACTGAGGTCAGTAATCTTGGTGAAAAAGTTTCTGTCCTGAAGGAATACATAGAATATATAATTATTTTACACTGACTGGGAACTAGGAGGTACCAGATTGCTGCCTCTCACTCTCAGGAGAGCCAGAACAGAGGGATGAAGTGATGTGGATGCAGATGTGGAAGGACCTCGTGGGAAGGGATGTGGTCCAGTCCCAGCCCACCACCGCTGCACCTCAGCACCAGCGGCCAGAACCACCCTACCACCCACACTGCCCAGCAGCCTACTGCAGGGGCTCTCAGACCTGCCAAAAAGTCTGCATGAGAAGGGGGAGAGCAGAGAAGATCTGGGCAGTCGGAACCTACCTATGCTGGACTATGCAGTGTCATGCAGAGATACTTAATGTGGCTATATTTCTTCTGAGACCAAAGCTTTTATCTCTAGGTGGCACCTCACTAGGTCAGTCAGAGATACTAATCATTTGGACATGGCTTGGGTATCAGCATGGCTTACATCATGCATACAAACATGACCTAAATCACCATTTCCAGCCTTCTTCCCCTCCCGCACTGAGTGGCAGTGTACTTGCTCATATAGGATTGCTACAGTGATTTTCATTTATGACCCAGTAAAATCTAGGTTCAGCACTGACAGTTATTTTATTATGTCTGTTTTCCCTGTTCTGTTTGCTTGCTCATATAAACAGAAATGTGTGCAGATTTAAGTTTTTCACTTCTTTCAGGAATCATTTTCTGATGCATTAAAGAACTCATCTGAGAAACACTGCCCTAAACTACAAAACATGCATAGCCCTTTTCAAAGCTAGTGAACATTCAAGACCTTTTTTTTTTTTTTTTTAATCTATTAAAGGTCTTAAATGGACTCCAGTGGTATTGAATTTTATTTAAAAAATAATAATTAAACATTCAAGTTGCTTCGGTTCAAGCAGCAAAACTGTGAGTCCCATAAAGAAAATATGACCTAAGATATTGCATTAAAATTTGCTTTAAAAAATTTGCTCTTAGGCTATTTTAGTTCAGAAAGAGGGGTGGTTGGTTTTTGGTTTTGTTTTGGGAGGGGGGTTGTGTTTCTGTGAGTTTTGGTTTGGGTTTTTTTTAATGCCTGAGTCATCAAAACCTGACAATGTGACAGAAGACTAACATA